CCACAGCTCTCACATGGTACATGGAGCCAATTACAGCACCATGTACCATTTGTTCAATCATTTGATTGATGATTTTTTTAACTTGCTGACTGCCTGCTTGCAATGTGCGGGCAAGAGGAAGCTCTGGGCAAAGTGACGTTCCCTTGCGTTGCTTTCTATTTTAAGGTATGAATGCGCCTGCGCCCCCCCGCTGACCCCCATGTCGGTCCAGGGAGGAATCAGCGAACTTTGATCACTCCTATTAACCCTTTGATCACCCCGTCACCCAGCCAGTGCCATTAGTACAGTGTCAGTATATCAAATTTTTCACTGACCACTGTATTACTGCCACCAGCAACAACAGATAGATCAGGATCAGTTAACACCCCTCCCAGCCAGGGTCAGCTAGTGTTAGATTGCCCACACACTATTGCATTCATGCTAAAAGTCGTTATCACTGCTATTGCTAGTATAGTGTTTGTACGAATCAATATATTGTTCATGAACAGAACTATACTAGTTCCTCCTTTGTATATTGTCCCCAAAAATGCAGTCTTAGCAGGATCAACCCCATTCGCTGCCAGCACTAGCGTTTAGCCTGTCAGCTGTTTTTCACAGAAGATATGTATCAATTGATTGTGGGCCAAAGCAATTAATACACACAACAAAACATCGCCGCCCACTCAACTTCAACTTTTGCTAGACAATTCGCATGGAAACCTATCACAGTTTCTGAATTTAAACTTTTTTGGGCCTAACCCTTAACATGGGCATTACAAAAAAGAATGAATTGTGGTTGTATTGGTCCATAGACCCAATTCTTCATTAGCCCATGATCTCTGCTGTTACATAAATGCACAACAAGGACGAGCAACATGCTGTTAAATTGCTGGACTTTGAGTGGTTATACCGGGATGATGCCTGCAGCTACAGGCATCATCGTTTTTTTCAGCTGGTGGTCGTCTTTCATGTAAAAGCAATCCTAGTGGCTATTTAGCTGCTGGATCGTCTTTACAAGCAGCAGGAAGGGATTGTTAAAGGAGAGATCAAGAGTCTAATAATTCTGAGAAAAAAGTACCTGTCATTGTTTATTGCTATCACAGGGGATATTTACATTCCCTGTGATAACAATAAAAGTGATTAAAAAAAAAAAAGAAGAAAGGGAAAGTGTAAAAAAAAAAAAAAAAAAAAAAATCTAATGAAAAAAAATAAATAAATCACCCCCCCCCTTCCCATGGTCACGTTTAAAGGCAAATGCAAACATTGGTCCCATGTCAGTATGTAAAGAGAGATTGCATCACCAGGTATCACCACGAACGGCAGATCGAGGGCAGTAATTCTAGCACTAGACCTCATATGTACTGTATATAAAGTGGTGACCTGTGAAGACTTTTAAAGCCTCGCCTATCAATGTTAAAAATGTAAGTAGTTTGTTGCCGTTGCACGGGTGTGTGCAATTTTAAAGCATGTAATGTTGGGTATCTATTTACATGGCGTAACATCATCGTTTATATTTTATCAAACAATTGGGCAATATGTTGTGTTTTTGTGCATTAAGATTGAAAAAAGTGTATTTAAAAATTGCATTTGAAAAGTCACTAGGGCCTCTGCTTTAAAAAATATATAATGTTTGGAGGTTCAAAGTAATTTTCTATCAAAAAAGAAATGGTTTTTCATGCAAACAAAAAGTGACAGAAAAGGATTATTCTTCAAGTAGTTAAGAGTGTGTGATGTGTGCTATAAGCTTCTAATGTTGGCCCTGAAATGCAAGGATAGAAGAAGCAACCCCCCCCAAATTGCCCCTTTTTGAAAAGTAGACACTCCAAGGTATTTGCTAAGGGGCATGGTGAGTATATTGCAGATCTCATTTGTTGCCACAATGTTTTGGAAAATGAAGAAAGAAAACAAAAATGTGTTTTTTTCTTTGCTTTTGTTCTTTTTCAAAACCGTGTGACAAAAATGAAAAATTATATCTCTAAAATAAACACCATGCCTCTTATAAAATTCTTTTGGGTGTCTACTTTTCAAGAAGGGGTCATTTGGCGGGGTGTTTGTACTATCCTGGCATTTTAGGGCCTCCGAAACTGTGATAGGTAGTGAGAAAGTAATATGAGGAAATATGCCCTTTGAAAAATTTGAAGGTTAGAGTGTCTGTAATTAAGTATCTGAATCTAAGACAATCTAGACAAAAAAGGAAAAAGGAAAAAGAAATGAATGTAAAAGAATACTTACTGCATCATTTAGATTTTGCCTGACAGTTGTCCTATCAATTTCAGTTTGGAATGTTACATAGAGACAATCAGACTCCAAGACCCCTTGTCTAGAATTACAGTCACCAAGTGCCATTTGATTTCTGAATTACTACCAAGCCACTGTCCAATTTTATATTTGGCTCTTTCCCCACATTGAAACCTATAATTTACAAGCCAATGTTTTTGATTTATCACCTATTTTCCACACTTGTGGAAAATGCATGCAGTTGGTCATCTTGGTTTTTATGGTGTGACAGATTTTCTGGACTTAAAATACGCCCTGTGGGTTGGGACACAACAGATTGTGGGCTTGTTTTCCAATGGAAGTCTGTATCAGGAGCCAAATGAGTTATTTGACAAAGAAATAAACAACAACATTAAAGATGTGATTTATGAATAAAATGGAGGAGCATGTCAAAGTCTGAAGCAGAAAAAGAGAGTTTTGTTCGAGACTCCCATATCTATCTAAGTAACTGGGAAGACAAAGCTTTGACTAAAGCTGAAAGCTGTTTCTATGTTTGTTGGCAAAGTCTGAATGGATTTATTAGGAAAGTGTTGAGTAGTCAAAGAAAAATGACCTTTCCTGGTAAACCAACTGGAACAATCCTCAAAGATGTGTTAGGTCTTTGCAACAAAAGGCAGCCGAGAGAGGGAGAGGAAAGGTTTTAGTTTAAACAAGGAACTTTGTGTGTGGTACAAAGAAAAAAAAAAGAGAGATAGAGAATGTGTAAGCAAACCGGGAAGGAAAATACATGGTGTTCACCCTTAAACAATATTCCTAAAAGAGCTGAGCTTTCAGATACACCAAATGATGTCCCGGATGGTTGACTAAAGCTTAGATCTGCTAAATCTCAAAGATTTTCTGAGTCTCTGGTTTTACAATCCTTTCTGTAGGTTTATAAAGTGTTCTGTTTTAATATTCTGACACCATTTTCCGTTTTTATACTGAAAACTGTTTGTACATTTATATAGGATTTGCAGAATCTCTGAAGATGTGTAGTCTGCTCGACCAAGGCAAAATGAATCCCTGGAGCTGTAATGTACAAATTACTTCTTTACTGAAGATTTTATATAGACAAATCTTAGCAGTAAAATTAAAGTACACAAAAAAAAATAGGTCTCGGCAGCGGTCAACAATGTGGCAATTACAGATCATGTAACCATATGCTGCCCAAAATTGAAAACAGGAGCACTCTCTTTTTAAACAAAGAATAGTATGGATAATTTAAAGTATTTGAATGTGACCCAAATATAAGTAATTTTTAATCATGCCTAAAAAAATAGTTTCTTTTAGATTTCTACAGAAGTACACTATTGTAAACAGGATCCAAACTCATGGCACAGGTGATACGAGTAGCTAATTGCCAGATGGAAGTGAATGATTTAGTGGCCGATATTCCTGTTCATTGAGAGTTTCCCATTCATTCTAGTGAGCCACCTTTCTTGTGCTTTTCCTTAGCTGATGCTACATTCTTCTTTTTAAGTTCTGAGTTTGTTCATTCTATAGATCAAACTACTTTCTCATCAAATTGTTCCTCTACATTCTTTTACTGCATTCCCCTACACCTGGTACATAAGCCCAGTCAAAACATATTTGTGTAACTACAGTATCATTTTCTGTGAATGGTATTCAGGCCAAGGTGGCCATCAGGGACGTCAATATGTTAAATTTGACAGGCCGAAGACTCAAAGCATTAACTATAGTATTTTAGTATTTTATTTATTTTATTATATATTATATATTATAATTTAATATATATATATATATATGTGTATATATATATATATATATATATATACACACACTATATTGCCAAAAGTATTGGGACGCCTGCCTTTACATGTACATGAACTTTAACGGCATCCCATTCTTAGTACGTAGGGTTCAATATTGAGTTGCCTCACCATTTTATAGCTATAACAGCTTCAACTCTTCTATGAAGGCTGTCCACAAGGTTTAGGAGTGTGTCTATGAAAATGTTTGACCATTCTTCCAAAAGTGGATTTGTGAGATCAGGCACTGATGTCGAACGAGAAATCTTGGTACGCACCCTCCGTTCTAAGTCATCCCAAAGGTGTTCTATCAGATTGAAGTCAGGACTCTGTGAAGGCCAATCAGGTTTCTCCACCCCAAAGCTCATCCATGTCTTTATGAACCTTGCTTCGTGCACCGGTGCGCAGTCATGTTGATACAGGAAGGGCCACCTTCAAACTGTTCCCACAAAGTTGGTAGCATGAAAATGTCCAAAATGTCTTGGTATGCTGGCGCTTTAAGAGTTCCCTTCACTGGAACTGAGGGCCCAAGCGCAAACCCTTAAAAACAGCTCCACACCATAATCCCCCCTCCACCAAACTTTACACTTGGCACAATGCAGTCAGGTAATTACCGCTCTCCTGGCAACTGCCAAACCCAGACACATCATTCGGATTGCCAGACAGAGAAGCGTGATTCGTCACTCCCCAGAACAAGTCTCCACTGCTCTAGAGTCCAGTGGCGGCGTGCTTTTCACCACTGCAACCAACACTTTGCATTGCACTTGGTGATGTAAGGCTTGGATGCAGCTGCTCAGCCATGGAAACCCATTCCTTGAAGCTCTCTTCGCACTGTTGTTGTGCTAATCTGAAGGCCACACGAAGTTTAGAGGTCTTTAACCATTGACTCTGCAGACAGTTGGTGACTTCTGCACACTGTGCGCTTCAGCATGTGCTGCCCCCCCTCATTGTCATTTTACGTAGCAAGGAAATTTCACAGATGAACTTATTACACAGGTGGCAACCTATCACAGTACCACGCTTGAATTCACTGAGCTCCTGAGAGTGACCCATTCTTTCACAAATGTTTGTAGAAACAGTCTGCATGCCTTGGTGCTTGATTTTATACACTTCTGGCCATGGAGGTGATTTTATATATATATATATATATATATATATATATATACACATACTGCTAAAAAAACATTTTTTAATCAGAGTCTAGCACAGGGGTGGGCAAACTTTTTGACTTGAGGGCCGCAATGGGTTCATATATTGGACCCGGGGGCCGGACCAAGAGTAGATGAATGATGTGTATGTGTCATCCTTAGTAAGTATAGTAATATTCCTCCATAGTAAGCATAGTAATTAATCCCCCATATAGTAATTCATCCCCCATAGTAATTCATCCCCCATAGTAATTCATCCCCCATATAGTAATTCATCCCCCATAGTAATTCATCCCCCATATAGTAATTCATCCCCCATAGTAATTCATCCCCCATAGAGTAATTCATCCCCCATAGTAATTCATCCCCCATAGTAATTCACCCCCCATAGTAATTCATCCCCCATAGTAATTCATCCCCCATATAGTAATTCATCCCCCATAGTAATTCACCCCCCATATAGTAATTCATCCCCCATAGTAATTCATCCCCCATAGTAATTCATCCCCCATAGTAATTCATCCCCCATATAGTAATTCATCCCCCATATAGTAATTCATCCCCCATATAGTAATTCATCCCCATAGTAATTCATCCCCCATATAATAATTCACCCCCATATAGTAATTCATCCCCCATAGTAATTCATCCCCCATAGTAATTCACCCCCCATAGTAATTAATCCCCCATATAGTAATTCATGCCCCATATAGTAATTCATCCCCCATATAGTAATTCATCCCCCTATATATATAGTAATTCATCCCCCATATTAATTCATCCCCCATATAGTAATTCACCCCCCATAGTAATTCATCCCCCATAGTAATTCACCCCCTATAGTAATTCATCCCCCATATAGTAATTCATCCCCCCTATAGTAATTCATCCCCCATATAGTAATTCATCCCCCATATAGTAATTAATCCCCCATATAGTAATTCATCCCCCCTATAGTAATTCATCCCCCATAGTAATTCATCCCCCATATAGTAATTCATCCCCCCTATAGTAATTCATCCCCCCCATAGTAATTCATCCCCCCATAGTAATTCATCCCCCCCATAGTAATTCATCCCCCATATAGTAATTCATCCCCCCTATAGTAATTCATCCCCCCTATAGTAATTCATCCCCCATAGTAATTCATCCCCACTATAGTAATTCATCCCCCATATAGTAATTCATCCCCCATATAGTAATTCATCCCCCCTATAGTAATTCATCCCCCATATAGTAATTCATCCCCCCTATAGTAATTCATCCCCCATATAGTAATTCATCCCCCCTATAGTAATTCATCCCCCATAGTAATTCACCCCCATATAGTAATTCATCCCCCATATAGTAATTCATCCCCCTATAGTAATTCATCCCCCATATAGTAATTCATCCCCCCTATAGTAATTCATCCCCCATATAGTAATTCATCCCCCCTATAGTAATTCATCCCCCATATAGTAATTCATCCCCCATAGTAATTCATCCCCCCTATAGTAATTCATCCCCCCTATAGTAATTCATCCCCCATATTAAGTCCCCAAGTCCCCCCTGTGTCAATTCACTTACCTTTGCTCCGCGCGTTCCTCTCGCCGTTCCGGTGCAGCATGAAAATCTGTCTCCTATGAGGATCTGTCCCCCTCGACGTATCTGCGCATGTGCCAGTTTCAGGCATTAGCAGCCGATCCGCGATCTCCGGCACATGCGCAGATACGTCGAGGGGGACAGATCCTCATAGGAGACAGATTTTCATTCAGGGCGGACTGTGAGAGGAGCCTAGCGGGAGCCTAGCTCCGCGGGCCGGATTAAAAGGTCCGCCGGGCCGTATACGGCCCGCGGGCCGTAGTTTGCCCATTGCTGGTCTAGCATCAAATCAATTAAACTCCTGGGATATTGATCTGGTCAGTTAAGTAGCAGAGGGGGTTGTTAATCAGTTTCAGCTGCATTGGTGGTAATGAAAATAACAATAGGTGCACTAGATAGGCAACAATGAGATGACCCCAAACACAGGAATGGTTTTACAGGTAGAACGGTCTGGATAAAAGCGCACAGATGAGTCCCAAAGGAAATAAGTGAATGATATATGTCAACTGTGATTAGTGGGGAAAAAACTCACTGCTGCCATGTTAAAAATACATCTGTTTATGGAAAGTATGAACAGGAGCCAGGAGCTGTGTAGTTTTGTGATAAAAGTAATACACCTTATATGGAGGTGTGCCTTTAATAATTCATATGGTAAGAAATAGATAACCAGCCTGTGGCATTAAGAAGCCAGGTTCCAAGATGGACAGCCTGTCCGCTCAGAGGCAGAGGGAAGCAGTGGAGAGTGGAATGCCTGTCAGTTCAGGGTATCCAAGGTCGTGGTGACGTCCCGGGTGAAGTCACCACGATGTGGAGAGACGGAGGGGGGGGAACTCTTGCTGGAGCCGCAGCTTTAGAAGGAAGAGGCCAGGACAACATGTTTCGTATGCATGCGCTTTATCAAGACTCCAAAGAGCGTTTACAGCATACAGTAGTGTTGGCCACTGCTGAAGAAAAGGAAAGCATTTCAGTGAGAGCTGCATTTTTATTTTACAACGGGATATATTTTTTTTTATTTTAGGACTCTGAAGTACTGCTTTAACATTGTGCATGGGTCAGTATCAACAGGGCATCTGTGTATAAAATTAGATTTGCATGTAGGCAGGTGCCTACAGAGGAATGTGGTATATGTCTCCATTTGTTGTATGTCATAAAGGTTATGCTTTTCTTTGTATTGTTTAAATACTGCATGTGGTTGCTCTTAGGATTGAGGGGGTTAATAGGTTTTGATTATTATGTTGAGTCATGCTGATCTCAAGTGTTCATGTGCCTGGTAAGTACATAAATGCAGGAGATTAGCAGTCTGTGGGGTTGCTCCATGTGTGGGAATTGGAACAGGAGAATTCCATGTAACTTATATTTTGCCTTTGCGGCTCCCCTTGGTGGCAACATGAGTTCCAGGACATGGATATTTGCTCTGCTGAACATTCTCTGCAACTTAGAGGTATGACCATATCAATGGTCAGGGGGCACCAGGAGGCATTAAGCTAGCACTTTGTAATAGGAATGGGATGTCTGCTGAACAAACACGCTGTAACATTTTATTATGTATGGGCAACCTTTACCAAAGCCAACATTATTGGTAACTTATTTGTGCCTGGTCTGAAGTTACTTGAGAACATACATAAAAGAGTGCATGCAAGGCATATCACTCATATGGCCACACCAGGGGCAAGACAATACAAGAGGATGATGCAGTACCAATGTCTTATTGTACGGTCAAGCCGTTTACGGAAGGTTATATTGCTGATGCTAATGACTACATTGTCTGTGTATATAGCAGCCAGCCAGTCAGAAAACTAGGGTAACTTGGCATAGACGATAGAAGACCCCAGTAGCAAAGGACCTAATGTGCTTGGGTTCCTTCCCTAGTGACTGATACCCCATCCTGAGTCCGAATTGCAGTACAAGGAGTCCTAGGGACCCAGCCTGGAGATCATGGAAAAGGGAGAAAGCATTCAGAAAGTGCTGACATAACATAAAAGCTTCCTGGGATACATGTCTACAAATACTGCTAGAAATGAGGCGACGGGTTACTAGACTGGTGGAGTCTGGTGTATACTACATGGCACTGGCTCAGAAATGCTGCACAGAGAAAGAGAAGAATCATAGGAACTAGTATCTGTCATGTACAGAGTATAAAGTGAAATAACTGTGCCAAGGAATATAAGAATCAAATTAGTGTCTGTGTTGAGAAGTGTTGCTCATTACAGAGAGTGCTACCTTAACCAGCGGCATATTTACCACAAGGCAAACAAGGTGTTTGCCTAGTGCAGTGATTTTTTTTGGCGGGTTGGGTCAGTGGCGCCCCTGGAAGAAGGGAACGGGTGGCAGGGATGGGGAGTAGGGGCAGTAGGGGTGTGTGTTGATCGGTGGTGGTGGTGGCAGGTGGGGTTACCGGGGGGATGGTTGGGAGGATTATTGCAGCCAAGGGGCCATGGTGGGGGTGATGGTGGGGGACATCCAATTTTAGTGTTTCCTGATGCAGCAAAGGATATTATGTTGGCGAAACAGGACAGAAGTTGCAAACAAGGATGAATTTGCACAGACATACCATCAAGGAACATAAAGAAGATGACCTCTGCACACCTGTAGGACACCGTTTTGCACAACCAGACCACACAATGGGAGACCTCAATATTTTGGTTCTTAAAGGAAATTTCAAATCCATTCAGGAAAGAAAAACTTTTGAACTAAGAATGATAATTCTATTTGACACAAGAGATAAGGGCCTTAATTTGGACATGGGATTCCTCACTCATTATCCAACAGTTTTATGACTATTAGCTAAAGCTTGACTCCCTCTGTGTGAGTGTAGTATCCCCCCCCCCCTTCGCTTTGGCTGTATCTTATCTCTAGCCTCTCTTTTTTTTTTCTTCATCTCTTTTAACATTCTGCTGAAACTTTGTGATTTGTACAGTGCTGCTTGGACTTTGAAGAAGAGGACATACCCCGAAAGCTTGTCCTCAAAATTGTATGTACATTAGTGCAAATAAAAAAAGTATCATGGACAGTACTCAAGTGTTTCCTAGGGAAGCACATCAGCTAAATACACCACTGGCCTTAATGCCATACCTGTGTTTCGCCATATACCTCTGGCAGGCTTTTAGGACATGAACTCTCACTCTTTCCTCAAGGTACCCCCTCATGTTGAGGACATGTGGCTTTGTATAATTAAGTGTGAGACACACATTCATCATCCCTTCTTTGTGGCCTGCCAGACTGCATGTTTGGATAATAGTCTGGTAAATCCTTTTTTTTTCTCTTGTTTTTGGTGTGGGGTTTCCACTTGACATATGCCCTCAGCAAGGATAAGTGTATAGTATATATCAATACTAGTATTGATAAAGGGAATCCCCGACCACTTTGTTTACAGGC